ATGAGTTTGTCTTTAAGCTCTTCTTCCATTCATCCAAATCAGGCCTAAACATGCTTGAATTGCATGAATTATGCTCTCTTACTCTATTGGCCTACAAAACACACAAATAGAGGCAAATAACTCAGAATTATAGAAAACTAAGCAAAAGAAGTAAGTAAATTGGGCATGTATATGTATGAAATTATGAGCTTAACACCCTCGAGTTGAAGTATTCAGCTTTTGCGTGGATTACATCGTACGTACGCCAGTTGCTGCTGTGCACCAAATACCGAAAGTATGAGGACCGTAGGCCACTCTTGAAGGCGCCGTAGGCTGCCTTGTCATCGGTATCTGGACATCTCGAGTATTCATGGCTGAATCGTGTGGCATACTCACGCAATGGTTCGTCATCTCTCTGCCGGATGGTATATAGATCATCGGTAGAATACAGTCTGTTCTTCTGAATCATAAAATGGTTTAGGAAAATCTGTTTTAGCTCGTCGAAGGAATCTACCGTTCCTGGTTCCAAACGGTAGAACCAGTTCAGAGCCGCTTCCGTGAGCGAAGAGGGGAACAGAAGGCACAGTCCTTCGTCGCTTAGCCCTCGTCGGCACCCTACGTAGGGGCTGTACGTCTCTGTCCTGCCGGGAGCGCCTTATGCGTTCGGTGAAGGGTCCTGGCCGGAGCCTTCCCCAGTCCGGCTCCTGAGAACGAGTTCGATCATCCTCCATCTTCTGTACCCTTTGAAAGAGGAGGCGGATGACAGGGTCCCTGTCCGGTATCTCCTCCGCAGTTTGATGCACCGATCGCTGCTGGGACCTGACAGGGTTGACCTCAGAGAATTTCGTTGGCGTTGCCGAACGGTAGGAAGATGACCGATTGGTGGAAGGAGCATACTCTCGGTCAGACTCTGTCGTCGATTCCAAGACTTGAATCCTCCGTATCGGAGACTTCCTCCCCATGTTTCTCAGTCGAGGATCGTCCAGGCAGGCATTTATCCTGATTGGCGATTCTTGCCGTTCGGACTGCCGTTCGACTTCCAGCTCTAACAGCCTGTGTCGGCAATTGGAATAGACCTTCTTCGGCACATGGGGCTTATTTTTTGGTGCCGGGACCACCAATTGTTTAGACGGCGCAGGCGTTGCCTTTGCCACCTTCTTGCCCTTCTTCTGCCGTTTCTGACGATCGATCTGTCTAAATGTTTTGCGTTTGCTGCTGGTTCAGCAGTTGTTGTGTTTCTTCCACTCTAGTCGAGAGGAGATTATTGTGTTCTTGCATCCTAGCCATGTCCTGCCGAAGGGACACGACTTGGGCTAAAAGCTCCGCATTTTCAGCGGGTTGGAGTACAGGTGGATTAGTTGCCGGGGTGCATGGGGGTGGCGCTGGGCTAACCCCGCTTGGCATGCCGAACGGCATCCCCTCCTATGGTAGGAACGTAGCTTTTGGGTTAGTCCCCATGTGTTTGGGATAAAGGGTCGATTTTATCGTTTCCCACAGAGGGTCAACTTAGTAATTTTATGCCTTCGGTATCCTTAAGGCCTCAGTAGTCAACGTGATCTGCAATATGAGCAAACGCACGGTAAGACTTAGGGCACCGGTGTGGTACCGGCCGAAGGCTCTCCGATGCTTAAGTAAGTTCGGGAATAGAAAGTTCAACTAACAGATCAATAGGCTTGTATGCCGTAAGTTCTGATTACCTCCATTTTGGGATAGTTGGCCTCATTTTATAGGCCTTGGGAGGTGTGCATTTGTTGATAATTTCGATGTGGGACTGTGGACGTCGCTTGGGAGCGAGCCACGTGTCCCTGGAGTGGGCGTTGCCCTAGTGGAGCGATCGGTAGGTAGAGTGCCGAGGGCACCTTTGACCAAGCCCAATTTCCTCCACGTGTCTCGCTCTTATTGGTTGTTTATTTTGGGTGTAAACAAAGGGAGAAGAAGGGTCAAGAGAAAAGTGGATTGGAAGTTGATATAATCTTCATAACAACAAGTTTGAAGTCAAAAAATGGTAAAATCACATATGATGGGTATCATGAGAGCATGGTTGGAATAGTCTCTTCAAAAAGGACTAGCTAAAATAACCTTGTAGGAGTTTACTAACACTTGGTTAAAAATAATTAGGTTCTTATATTTAATGGAATGACCGGATTTAATTCAGAAGTGACACTTGATTATGTTTAGCACTTTGGAAATGTTCTAGTTATCATAAGTGAAAATAAAATAAAATTTACCATTTACTAATAATACTTATATTGGTCATTATATTTAAGGAAATGGAATGACCGGATTTTTGGATTTTTGGATTTTTTGGATTTTTTTTAATTTATTTAAGAAGGACTAGACTTTAACGAGGCTGCACTTCTGCACTGGTTCCAGTATTTCTTGTTTTTTTTAAAAAAAAAATAGAAAATAAGATAAAAACCCAAATGTTCTAGGGTTTATGTTTTTATTTTTGATGGAAACCCAATGATTAGCCTTCCATGTCTGCAAACTTACCATAACAAGATGATCAGTCAGCCGATATTTATTATTTCGATTAGTCAATTTTTGTGTTTTCCTATTTTACCCCCTACAACGTTTTTTTTGTGTTAACCCATTATTATTGCATAATTTAATGCTACTTAGTATTTATGGGAATAAAAACTAAGGTAAATAATTATTGAATTTGATGTAGCCCATTGACAATTGTTCTATGGATCCGGATCCTCTGCTTTGATTTACTTTGCTATGATCTACTTTAATTTTGTTCTCCACATGGCACCTTATTAAAATTTACATCTTTTCTTTCTCCAATCTTAGAACACAAAAACATTCTTACCAAGAAGAGTATGAACATATCAAGTCGAATAAGTAACTAGCTCCAAGGGGATAGGAAATTAAATCATGTTCACCCAAATAATAGAAAACCTAGGGTGAGAAAGAACATAAGTCATGTAAAGAAAATATAGAAGTAGCAAACTCTACGTATTCAAAGAAAAAAAAACAGGGAATTTATTATTACAAATGATGAAGAGAGGCAATTCCACTTTTTATTTGCGAGGTTTTGTTAACTTATTATTTTCACCGAATTTTTTATTTATTTTTTTCTAATTCTTGAAAGGAAGAAGGACTAGACTTTAAAATGCAGAAAGTAACCTTCCCAGGCTTGGAAGCCAATTCAAAGCATGCCAACGTAACTTGAATGAAATTTCAAGCGAGGCATTGACACTCCAGCAACAATATGTATAAAACCAAAACTTAGGAAGAGACCAAATCGCAGACACAAAAACTTGTAAATTGGGTGACAAAATTGATTTATTGGTCTACAAATTACACTCAGATTATTGCCTGCAAATTATAATTATGGAGAATGAAAACAAGAAGAGGTTGGCAGTTTTGGTGGGCTGCAATTATACAAACACCAGAAATCAGCTGCATGGTTGCATAAATGATGTGGTGGCCATGAGAGGCACACTTGTGAATCGCTTCGGGTTTGATCCAGGAAACATTCAGCTGCTGACTGATGCTGCAACTGCAGGTTCTTCTTCCTCAGTCATGCCCACAGGTGCAAATATTAAGAAGGCACTTGGTGCCATGGTTGATCAAGCTAAGCCAGGTGATGTCTTGTATTTTCACTATAGTGGCCATGGAACAAGGATCCCTTCATTGAAGCCAGGCAACCCCTTCAGGCAGGATGAGGCTATTGTGCCTTGTGATTTCAATCTCATCACTGGTGGGTGCTTTTAATCTAATTGGTCAATTGTTTAATCTCTTGTATATACATGTTAATTTTAGTAATTTAATATTCTAATGAGTAATTATAGAGGTGAGATTTCGCTTTATACAAACAGATCCCACCTCTATTATAGAGATATGGTCTACAATGTGGTATCCTGTCCTAATTCACAGTAAGACCTTATGCATTTTTTCTATTGTTTAATTAGTCAAGTATATAACTAATTACAACATGCACGGATAGGAAAGTGTGAGTATAAGACGAGTTGTAAACTTGAAAGTCAGTGAAAATAACGTGGTTAATTTATTGGTAACTTTTATGTGTAGATGTGGATTTCAGACAACTAGTAAACCGCTTGCCAAATGGAGCAAGCTTTTCAATCCTGTCAGACTCATGCCACAGTGGAGGCCTCATTGACAAGGAGAAAGAGCAGATTGGACCTTCTCATGTCACTGAAATTAGTAGCGCATCCCCATCAGTTTCCTCTAATCCTAAGGGCATTCCTTTTAAGTCCATATTGCATCACCTCGCATCATTGACAGGCATAAACACATCTGACATTGCAACCCACTTGTTAGAGTTGTTTGCAGCAGATGCCAGCCTCAAGTTTCGTTTGCCTCCGCTCGAACTACTCAACATGTTCGAGTCATCGAACCCTGATGAGGGAATCTTACTAAGCGGGTGTCAAGCAAATGAGACTTCCGCCGACATGACCAACCCGGTCATGACTAGAGGAAAGGCATGTGGTGCATTCAGCAATGCAGTTCAAATGGTGTTGAAGGAGCATGAGGCTAACCTAAGCAATAGACAGGTTGTGATGCTTGCTAGACAAGTTTTGAGAGAACAAGGCTTTGAGCAGCACCCTTGTCTCTATTGCAATGATGAGAATGCTGATGCAACTTTCTTATGCGAATCTCATATCAGCTCAAGTTTATGAGACATTGGTTACGCTATGATTTGTCTAATAAGTAATGTAAGACCATATCACTTGCTTATTGTTTTCTTTGTGTAAATAAAGAAGGCACTGATATTGCCACTTTCTTGTGGCAACCTCTCAGAGCTCAAGTTTATTAGAATCTGCCTATTATCTACTGTTTCTTTGTTCAGCTCAAGTGAGGCATTACTGAGTTCTTTGGTTGAATAAATTCTTACTCATCAGGCCTCCCGTGGGGGAAAATATAGCAGTAAACCATGAACCTTTTTAAGTTATGCCAAGATTGAAGACATCTTTTGAACAATCACAAGGTCCTATTAAATATTCAAGAATAAGAATAGCTATACAAAATATTAAGGTAAAGGTATCCAAGAAACACTAAATTACACAAACGAATGAAGCAAAAGCAAAAATGAAATGACAAAAAGAGAGGACAAATTTTGTCTCTCTACTAATAATGTTGTACACTCAAACTATCTATTTCACATTCTGAAGGTTCTTCACTGCTGCACAGTGAATTTGCTTATCTCCTTTGGAAGTTCAAGAACTTGATGCCGTATGCAAAGACAAAGAAGAAGAGGAGGACCCAACCAACATGAGCAACGACAACGGGGATCAGAAAATCGTAGTCAAAACCTAAAAACTCTTTAAGGAATACATCAACTGCTTTTTTATTATCAACTGAATTGTCATTTCCAATAGGAATGGTGATGTTTTCCTTTATGTCACCAACTTGGGATGTGAAGATACCATAGATTGTCCAAGCAACTGGAGAACCCCAGTAATACCACCTCCACCAGATGGGAATTAGCTGCAAGAGTGAGATTCAATTGTTATGATTGCAGAAAGAAAAGAGATGGTTTGGAACAAGATTAATCTTTGGTCTAAGAACAAATGAGTTTCAAATGACATACCGGCCTGGGGATGAGGAAACCAGAGAACAAGTTCCAGAAGCTCAAGAAGAAAGACATAGTAATTGCAGCAATTTGATGGCCAGGAGTTAGGGCAACCACCATCATCCCGTACATTGAGAAGTAGGTAAAGCACATGAATATGAAGTAGTAGAAGTACAGAAACTTCTCCACCTTAAACTTGTACCCAATCATGAAAAATAGAAGACAGGAATAGACAAGGGTTTGGATTGCAACATAAATTGTCTCAATAGCCACCTACAACACCAATATATAATATGTATCAATAACAAAGATACGAGATTTAATGTTATATAAAAGCTAAGACGTAACCAAGCATAACTTCCAATATCTTACCTGAGCAAATGCATACGGCAACTCTGAATACATTCCCGCTGCTCTTTCACGATAGAAAACTGTTCGTTCAACCGCAACCACAGATTGCACAGCAGAAGCATTGCTAGCTCCAAGGAAAAGAATAGCAGAATAGGTAGCTCCCAAAAGATTAATCAGGTCTTGTTGCTTGTGTCTGTTCACAAGATAATATACAGTTAAACATCATATACGTGACACTTATAGCAAAGAACATGCAACTGAATCACAAAATTCAAAGAATAATATGTAAAAAAGATGTAGCTCATAATAAAGTTCTTAAACTTACATATCGTCTCCTTTGCCCCAAAAGATAATACCAAATAATACTCCGATGCAAATTGTCATGAAAAACCTAATGGCATTGTACCGTGAGTTCCTCCAGTATGACCAGTGTTGTTTCCAGAAGCAAGCCTTGCACTGAGTTAAAAAGCTTTGGGAGTATTGGGTGGGGAAGTAAAGATCCTTGGAGCCTGGTTCTGGTACGCTTAGTTCCTTGATAAGTTCCTGATTTCTCCTGAACAAGTGAAACAAAAATGAAGAAAAATTTAACACACAACGACAAGTGGGTAGCAATGATAGAAATGAAGAAAAACGAAGTTACATGCAACTTACCTATAGAGATCAGAGTTTGCAAATATTTCTGCAAAGTCCACATCATTTTGAGCTTCAATTGAAGCAGAGCTGACCTCTAACATCCAGGTAGCAGGATTGTAACCTTCTTTGATCTTGGAAACCCCTGGAATAGCCTGCAAGGTGAAATAGATATAGTCAAACTTTTAACTATAAAACCCCTCGGCAGAGGACAAATTTTTCTATGATTGAAACATATTTGACCCTTAATATTATTCATGGTTCTAGAAACTTGCATTTGCATAACAACAAAAAATTGAAGCCCACAAATAAATATGTTGGGAATGAGATGTATATGGATTACGTGAGATTGATGTTTGAAAGATTTTTTTGACTGAAGTTGGGTCTAACACTAAGTCAGGTTTAGACCAAATATTAACTTTTGGATCCAGATAATGATTTGAGCATAAACTTACCTCAAAGTATTCAACAAGCTTGTGAGACTGGCGACCTAGAGGACCTGCATAAATCACCTGTCCTCCTCTTTTCATTAAGAAAAGCTGCAATGCGAAACAAAACTAATGTGAAATACAGTACTTAAAATAATGAACAATGCTACAGATTAAACAGACTAAAAATCAAATCATACCTCATCAAATGCTTCAAAAATGTCAATGCTAGGTTGGTGAATTGTACAGACAACAGTTCGTCCTGTATCCACAGTGTTTCTCACAGTACGCATAACAATTGCAGCGGCTCTAGCATCAAGACCTGACGTTGGCTCATCCATAAAGATGATGGAAGGGTTGGCAACCAATTCTACAGCAATGGTGAGCCTCTTTCTCTGCTCAGTCGAAAGTCCATCAACTCCTGGAAGTCCAACTAAAGCATTCCTTAATGGGTTAAGCTCCACCAAGTCCATAACCTCATCAACAAACATCTAAAGATAAGAAAAAGAAAACCAGGGTCAGCAACATCATCCATCTCATCCTGTTCTTAAATATGGAGCAAACATGATTGTCATTTTGGCGATTAACTATGACTTCTTTTTAGGTGAAAAAGACTGCTGTAGACACATTACATTGTATTATCAGAAATTAAAGGTTAGAATTGTTTTAGGTGTTAAATAAATAGCATACCTTTCGTGTCTCCGTCTTGACATCCTTGGAAATACGTAGCCAGGCAGAGTATAGGAGAGATTCATAGACAGTAACAAATGGTGAATGAATGTCATTCTGTTCACAGTAACCGCTGACCCGGGCAAATGTGGCTTGGTTCTTTGGGTAACCAGAGATCGTAATACTTCCTTCAATATAGCCGCCAGTCTTTCTTCCAGCTAAGACATCCATCAAGGTGGTCTTTCCAGCACCACTGACACCAACTAATGCAGTCAAAACACCCGGCCTAAATGCACCACTAACATCTCGTAGAAGTTGCAGTCGGGTCTCTTCAATCCCTTGGGTCTTCATTTCCTGGTGAGGACACAAAAATTGTTACCAAGAAGAATCATATTAAACCACGACATTTGTTTTATATCATATGCTCTAGAATTCATGACTTAAATCAGCGGAACTGTTCATTAAAAAAAGTCAACCTAAACTAAAGCGAATTATGCAAAATGCTTTAAAGTAAAATATTTCTACTATATTTGAAGAGAAGACACTGTCTCATTTCCAATTCCGTTTCTGTTTCTTTTGATAAGTTCCCATATAGATTCTTGAAATTAAAACTTCAGACCTCAGAGGAAAAATGTGCAAGTAACTTACGGCAGGCATATCCACATAGTAATTCACATGGTTGAAAGCAAGTGAGAGGGGCTGGAAGGGCAAAACCATTCCTCGTTTGGCTTGGTTATTTTCAGCACTAACAATTCCTTGAGCATTTCTGACTTGCATATCAATACCTGCCATTGATCACTATTTATTAGGCGTAGAAAATAATTTGATAGCAAAGCTAACACTCAAGATGCAATTGTTATGCAATAAAATTTGTCCTACCACATGGCATAAAAGAAGAATGATGCATAATGTTATCCAGCTAGCATAATGATGCAAAATGGCTACTTCTCTGAATGTATAAAGCAGTGTCATCTTTTAGAAACTCCTATTATTTACCTTCTGGATTGGATTGTCGCCTCTTCCTACTTTCAGAGTTGTCATCATTCTCAATTAGAGTTTTAGTTTCACTAAGAGCTGAAATTGAGTAAAAAAGAAACAAATAATCAGTGCTTGATCCATTACCATAACTACACCTAATGACAAATGAAAATTGTTCACTTACGATCCAAGAAGGTCAGTGCTCCAATGAAAAGAACATTAAAAAGAAGAGAAAACCCAAAGAGCGCTCCAACACAAATCCAATACCAAGTCTCTGTAGTAAACAGGCCTCTTTCCTTCAGAAGTACCTTTCCAACTGTGGTGCCGTTGACAGGCTGTTGAAAGGGATTAAAAAGTTCATTAAGCTCACACACACATCAACTTAGATTTATAAATAAATAAAAAATTAATTTTATTTTCAAGGTATACTGAGAATTCAATTTAAGGCTTAAGAGAACTTACAGAGCTCCATCTTTTGTCAAGAAATTCATTGATAGCAATTGCATTTTGCCCATACATCATAGGTGAAACATAGTAGCCCCATATCATCCATGGCAAAATGTCATCTGCACAGCACAATGGAATATTGTGAACATTTGAAAATATATGAAAGGAATAACAGTCATTAATGCAATTATTCAGAAGTCTATAGACAGTGCTGGTATCAAATTGGTCAATGCAGTAGCTTTGACACTGAAATGAGAAGGATTTCTAACCTTTAGCAACAACAAAACCTCCTAGGACAAACACAAGTAGCAATGTAAAAGAACCAATTGTGCCCGAAACAACCTCACTTCTACCAAGGGCAGCAATGAAACGGAAGAGGGAGAGAGCCATCTGGTGTATACCAAAGAAAGCCAAGAACTGTTTGAAGAACCTGAACATATTGGCATATGTCAGATTAAAAAATAACTAGGTTGCAACATCCTTCATCATTTATTTAGTATCAAAAAACTAAAGCTTCCTAGAATAATATTGCTGATAAATTAAAGCTTACCTACTGGCAGCAGGTGCAAATCCAATGGTGTAGTATGTCAAAATGATCCATATCCCAGATTCCATCAGTGAAATGGGAATTCTGGTTAGCCAAATGGGCAAGCCAAAGGCCCAGCCAGGGAAGAACAAGGCATCCCTTTGTTTGAAGAACACAGGAAGCCTGAAAACTGTCATGGCAAGCTCTGCCATTCCATTAAACATGACGTTAATGAGACTGAAAAACAGTGCTCCCCAAAATTTTGCCGAATCTTGTGGTTGTCCAGCTTTCATTTCTGTTCTTAAGAATACCGTCAGAGCAATTGTAGCCATGATTGTTATCTGGGTAGTTTTGAATATGTATACAAAAGAGTTACGCTTCATCAGCAACCATTCCCTCGCAAAGCATGCCTTGAAGATCTCCATATTGGATATTCCATACTTTTCCTTCACCAATGCAGCAGGATGGACTGTTCGTTTATCGTATGGAACTCTTAGTTCTTCCACAAGCCGTTGGCCAACATGGAAAGTGGTGAAAGCCCGAACGAAATCAGATACTGAGACATATCTATAAGGTTGGTTCTTCTTATACCAGTATTGTTCTTGGTCCTTCTTTGAGGTCACTTCTTGCAAAAAGTCTGCAACACCCTTTCTGTCCGGGCATCTGAACCCCATAAATTCAAAGAATTCCAGAACATTCTCACG